TCCGAAGCCTCTGCAGTTACAGCTGTGCCGGTTCGAGGGTGCCGGCACGTCCCCGGCGGCTGGTGGCCCTTCCCTGGTGGCACAGCTGTGCTACCCAACCCAACGGCACACGCTGAGGCAGCAAAAACTCCCCTCTCCTGCACCAGGGGTGTCTATCATCGGTTGTCCTGCCACAGCAATGTGAGTAAATAGATTTGGCAGTGGGGAGGTGGGGTGGGGGTGTTGTTTCCCCTGTTTCCCTGACATTGCTTTGCTGGAATTATGAGTGTTAGCTCCTCAAGCACAGACCTCTACTTGGTGGGATAGAAAAGTAATCCCAAAACTCACTTGTAACCCTCACCTCGGGCTGGGGAAGTGAAACACCAGCCACTGCTGAGCCGCTAATACAGCAAAATGCTTTCATTTATGTTCGTGTCCTATTGCATGTAGTCTCGGTCAAGGCACAAAATAAACCTATGCTTAAATGTTTTGGTGCAAAGGCAAGACTACTGCATGAGAGCATCCATGACAACTGGGAAGGTGTTGCAGTGACTGCTCTATATTGCCACCTGGGAACCAACATTCACACAACAGCCCGAGTCTTCAAAGTTTGCCGATTTACGTACCAGGGTGTTGGAGCTATGAGATGCACCACAAGGAGCCCCACCGAGAATTAATCTCTGGTTTCAGTCCATGCTTTAAATGGGGGGATGCAGTGAAGCTTCCTTGACTCCGAAGGCTTTACTTGCCATGCTTGTTCATGATGAGTATAAATCAGTAATGACGGTGAATCACAGAACAGCATGTCCTTGTCTTTGCCCGAGGACGTGGGACCTGATGGGTTTTGTCTGCTGGCTGCAGCTTTGATTTCCCTGAAGAGGACTCACAGGGTGTGTGCCAGGCCCAGGACTACATTGTGCCCTACCTGACCAGCCACCGATGGAGAGGCAGATGTGAAATTTACAGAAAGAGAATAAAAAAAAAGAATGGTGCCAAATTTACACCAAAGCTCAGTCAAAGGCAAAATTTGGAAGCTTTGTGGAAAGGCACTGAAGTAGATAAAACTGGGAAAAGTCTAAAGCTTGGATAACAAATAACCAGATCTCTTCCTGCAAAAGCCTCTGTCAAAAAGCCAGTTCTGGCTGTCATTCTCATCTTCCATGTCTTAAAGGAAAACATGATAAAACAGAAAGAACAAATTTCATGTAACGCATTCACATGAAACCACGACTACTCTTAAGTAACTAGCTATTGCTTAGTATCTCACTTGAACTGTAGTGTTGAATACTTGGAGTAGCTGATTCTATAAAAGACCTTTATGAATATACAAGTGTACTTAATCATACTTAACTAGCTCCTCCAAATGGAAAAAGAAACAGCACTGGCTGTGTTGGATGACAGAGCTGGATGCATCATGATTAGCCCTGGTTTGATCAAGCCACTGCACTGTTCAAGTGATTCAGAAGAGTTCAGCATCCAGAAGGCATCCCAGGACATGACCATTCTGCTCATGATTAACTGTTATTAAAAACCAAAACCAAAACCAACCAACCAAACAAAAAAAACCCAACACAACAGAAAAGCAAACAACAGAACAGTTGAGAAATTTTGAAAGTCCAATCCTGTCTCAGAAATCCTTGAAATGTGCTGCTTACTTAGCAGTGCCTCCTTGGAGAGGAGCAATTCACTGAGACCTGCACCCTAGCTTTCTTAAGTTAAACAATTTCTTCCATGATGCCATGCAAATGCATCCCAGCCTCTTTTGTTTTAGAAAATGTTGTAACTCCCAAGGCCAAAATCATGTGACTGTGTACTGTCAGTTGTATTGTGTGCATCAGCCTTCTAGTGTTCAACAAATATTCGGAACCAGTGGCCTGTCAACCACTATGCTTGAGAAAATGCAATTTTTTTTCCCCGCAAAATTGTGATAAGGACTTATTTAGCTGATTTTTGTTTGCTTGTCATAACATATGTTGTTGGACATTTTCCATGCCACTGAACTTACTCAAGAAGGCACATTGACACAGGAAACCTCTCTCCCCTTCAGAGCCCAGATGGGCTTATGGTGTGGTAGTCAGGAGAGAAAATCCATATTTTACCTTTTAAACAAATGTACATGGTTTGGAATTGGACAGACCACAAGGACAGATTTGCAGAGATACTTTGAAGACCAAAAATTCATTCAACAGAATTAAGCCAATTCAAGACACAATGAGTTAATTGTGATATACACAGCAGACGGTACCTGGTTTTATTTATTGATGATACTCAGTATTTACAGCAGCTGGTAAACCTGACTGGTTTACTATCACAACCAGTTCCAGCTCTTTATTCTCTCTCGTTCAACCCCTCCCATGTCAGGTAAAAAACAGTCTATGACCTTTGCAGTTATTGCTCTTTTTCAGAGAAACCTTGAGTTCTGTTAAAGAATTGTTGAAATTTGCCTGGTTTTGCCAGTAACAAAATCAATAGCACTTAATTAAAAAAAAAAAAAAAAAAAAAAAAAAAAAAAAGATGTAATTTGAAAACAGAACTTCCCGTGCTTTGATTTGATAAAGGACAAACTTATCAATAAAATTAATGTGCTCAGAGCAGATTTTTTTACATACGTCCAGTAAGAAAAGAATCACAGGACCACATACAGCAGACCCACCTGCCTCCCCTCCAACCAGGCCATCCACTCTTCCTCTCTCCTCATGTGTATCCCTCTTCCAGGGCCCCAAAATCAAGTGCATTCACTGCAGATTCACCCCACTGTTTGGCTCTGAGTTTCTGATACTGTCACTGTTTCTTTCCTTGTAAGAACAGTGCCAAGCTGAAATCGGGGAGAGGCGGCGGGGGGCCCTGGCTGACTTCCAGCTCCCCAGGGATGAGGATGTGGGAGAGGGATATGAACTGAAATATTTTGCTTTTCTGCAAACTCTCACATTTTCCCCATCCGTCCTAATTTGTAACTCTCACATTTCCCCCAGCTGTCCTATCCTGAATCCCATGTACCTCTTCGAGCAGTGTTTTCATGCTCTTCAGCCAGGCTTTCATTTCAGGCACCCCTCCTAGTCAAACACAATGCCTAACCTTAAAGCCTGACTGGCTTTCCTAGTCTCCACGTATAATAAAAATCAGCCTGGCTCATCAGCAATAACGATAGCAACTTCTTTTCAGGTTTATAGGTCTGTTACTCAAAATGCTCTTACTATGAAAATATCTCCTTCTGCTTTTATGTGCCTAACAAATACCCACACCAGCGTGCACGGCCGTGAGGTTTCGGTGCTGGCTGGCTGGCAGCGAGGGCCTTCGCTCCTGCGTCTGTCCTGTGCACAGCCCAGCTCTGCAGGATGCTGGGACGCAGCCCGGGCCCAGCTCCGTGGGATGCTGGTGTGCAGCCACGGCTGAGCTCGGCAGGGAGCTGTGTGCAGAAACGTGCATGAAGGTAGTAAGAAGCAATCTGGACATAAAAGATCCCGCTGGTCCATCGCCTCCCTGCCCTTCTAGAAAAAAAAAGGAGAAAATAAAAAAAAATAATATGACAGAAGCCTCTGTGGCAAGTCCTCTGCCACTGGCAGGGGTTTTCGGGCTGGAAACTGGAAACAAGACTTGGGAAATACAGCGGGAACGGGAAGAGAAAGGAGGGCACGTGCATGCTCATCAATTCCTGACAGGAGAGAGGTTGAAAGGAAAAGCTTCCTGATGACCTCCAATGAGCTACTAAAGCATGAATACAGCAGCTAATTGAGAGGCAGATTTGATTGCCTGCACTGCACTTAGAGGCTTCAGGTTAAAAAAACACAGAAGAAACCTCAAAGCGATATGTAACATTCTATGGGACACAGGCAGAGAGGGCAAGGAGATGGGAATCTGCAGTGTTAAACCTTAGCCATGACAAGCGGCAAAATGTTCAGCTGTTAATTTAGAGCCCAGAGCTAAAGGGCTCGCACCCTTCTGCCTAGTGAAGCCTTTGCCTGCAGCAAACAGACATAATCAAATTACAGGAGGCTGTTAAGCACTGGCAATAAACTATCCCCAGACACACACAGGGCTGTGGAGTGTTACTTAATACACTGTAAAATTTCTTTCACTCTCACCTGTTTTTTTGTAGGTTGCTGCTCATTTTCCTTCCAGAAGTGATAGTAAATGCAAGATCAGTTTGTCAGTGATGTATCCAAATCTTTTACTTATCCTTAGAAATTGTAACTGTCCCTGCCTCCAGGTACTCTGGCCTCTCTTTAATTTTTTTGAGAAAATAATGTGTTTTAGAAAAGACAGCCAGTCTGGCTTTCATTTTCCTGCTGCATGTTTATTTGTGTGCGTACGTGTGCATGTGCATGCGATATAGTACCGCTAGAACAGGTGTTACTCGATGATGTGTTGACACTGAAATTAATGCTTATTCTCAAAGCAGTTACTGTGCATCAAGCTCATTCATTATCCTGGAACAAGGACAGTTTCTTTCTCTAAACCGTCCTGCAGGCACATTTGTGTGGAGCTCTAAGATGAATCCTGTAATAATCACCAGCCCCAGTGTGTGGCACAACCCAGTTTCAGCCACAGGCACGTTACCTTTCATCCAAAGCAAACAGGTAAAAATTCATGCTTAAGTCATCTCCTAGGGCTGCCATGTGACACAGCTGGTAATACAAATACTTAGCATTGTAAAATAAAATCAGTATTATGTCCTTTAATTATGCAATGATTTTATAATATAGCTATTAATAACGAGCATCATCTTATTTTCATGTATTCTAAAGTTACAGCAGTTACACTAGTGATGCTAAACCATCTTAAATATATAACCAAAGAAATCACTGCTGAGAACCACAGATAATACTTCAAACTGTACAGAGGACTTGGCCACTTCAGATTCCTGTGTTTCTTTGTCTGCCCTCAGTCCCTCTGTCCATGACAGTATTTATAGTGTGCAGTCACATGCTGAGGAAACTTGGACAGTGTAAAGGCACAAGAATAACAACAAATAAACCAAAAATGAGCACCCCAGAGTAGCAACAATATGAAAACCAGAAGGCTTTTGGAAAGCAGTGCATTTTATTCCCACATCTCATTCTGCAGTCTTCCACTGATGCTATTAAAATACCTCAGCACGAGGCAATATTTTTATTTTATTGTGTGACAGTCTCTTTTACTGAAAAAGTGGATTGCATTTGCCAAATTCCCATTTTCATTTAGGGAATTTACAGGTATAAACAGAATACAATATAATCACATTTCGACTATACATGCAAATGTACAACATCGTAACAGCAGCTTTTTTAACAGTTAAAACTGTTTGAATTTCCGCAAGTTTCTACTAACACATCAACAACAGTAAGCAGCAATACATTGAACTCTCCCAGGAAAAAGTCCTGCAGCAAGAGTCCAGGGGGAGAGCTTTCTACAGCAAGTGCCAAACACGGAGTGTACGCTACAGGGTCTAGGACTGGCATCCAGGTGGTAAAAAGATCCACTTTTCTTGTGGGCAGAAACCACTGAGCACAGTGAGGACAGATCAGAAATGTGGGTTTCTCCCCAGCCATCTGTACGATTACAATGCAGTTCGATATCATAACGATTTCAGTAATACAGCAAATGTAAGTCAGAGGCACAAGCTTCTTTAGTCTAGGATGCATTTGAAAAACTAACAAAACCCCTATTGTATTAGCCTATAAACAATAGTGCTTTTTTTTTTTTTTTTTTTTTTTTTTTTTTTTTTTTTTTTTTTTTTGCAAAAGATGCTGTACGGAGCTTGAGCAGAAAGTAAACGTTACATTTCGGCATATAGCCAGAATCTCTTGTTGTTCACAGGTCACCCAACTTCTGCACTCACTCAAAAACCACTGTTGCACCCAATGCCTCTGCCTGCATTTGTTGACAAGAATCTAAAGCTCCCACAGAGATCAGTTTTGCAAATATTCCCTGCTGGGTGAATTGCTCATTTTGGATTTCAGTGCTGAATGCTCTGTGAGGCTAATGCTGCCTGCTTGGCTTGAGAAGGCATTGGGCTAGGCACTGCTTAATTAGGGCTGTGGAAATAATTGATTTTCAGTTCAATGTCTTAATAACTAATAATAATAACAATAATAACAGCAACAACAATAAACAACTTGGTTTATTTTTTCAGGAGGCAATAACAACTTGTTTCAATCTGTGGTCAAGATGGCCCGATGGCTGGGGCACCCTTTTGGGATGAGGAAGGCTCAGAGTCAAATCTCTCCTCTGCCTGGTTCTGAGCAGAGGTTTGACCCATGGACCCCCACCTACCAAAAGGGTAACCCAGGGCTAAGAAATACTCCAACGCTTGTTTCCCCAGTCTTTCCCACTAAACGTATGTAGTACAAAATATTAGCATATTCAATGTTGGCCTCACTGGAGGGCATGTTTCCCCGGGGGGAAGCGGCTGGAGCGGCCGGGGGGGAGAGGCAGCTCTGCCCCCCGCAGCCCGCGGGGACAGTCTGGGTGGGCTCAGGGGAGCGGCTTCCACCAAAGCCCCGGCCGTCTCGGGGCCGGGTGCGCCGAGCATCCCTCCCAGCCCACGAGCGCTCGGCCAGGGGCTGAGCCGGAGCCGACGGCAGCTCCTCGCCCGCCCGCCGGCGCTTCCTTCCACCCGGCACCGCAGCGCGGGGACAGTGAGGGCTGGTACGTGCCGAGCCGCGTCCCCGCGCACGGCCGGGACATCGCCAACCTGTCCTGCAAAAGCACCCCTGGGAACCCCGGAGAGGTGTTGTCCCCGGGTCTGCTGCCAGCCTGGACTTCCGAGAGAGGGAGATGAGGAGGACACCTGGGTTCCAGTCCAGGCTCTGATTCACCCAACTTTAGGGTACAAGGAGGGGATAGCACAAGCCACACGCTTTCTCCCTAATTTTTTTATAGCCCTCCCAAATCAAATCAATACATACCAACATTTCCAAACTTTTATTTGGGTCAAGTTAGTATTCCCAACACTACATGTAGTTAAAGCTCATAGAAAAACATCCTTCTTTTGCTAAGCAAAGCTCCTCGAAAGTTCAGATCTGGTTCTGCTCTCATGGACACCACCGCAAGACTAAAGTATTTCTACTGAAGAGACAAACCACCCAATGTAAACCAGGTCCAAGGCCCAGCCTGGCCACAGAATTAGGGAGAGTTTCAATTCTTCAGTTAAGAGGGTGATTTTACACCAATATAATTGAAGTGGCGCAATCTCTAGCTCTGTTGCAAGTGGATTGACAGAGAGGAGCGCATAAAAGTACAGTTAATAGGAGCTTATATATTGTAGGAATATATTTATATAGAGTACCTATAATTGGATGGATACAGATACGGAAGCACATCGACAGCTTCCGAATGCTGTTAAAATCACAAGGCTCCAGACACAAGCTAAGCTACAGGCCACCGCCGTGTCACTGGCACTGCCGACTGACCCAATGGTACTGATGTCCCTCATAGCCCAGGCTGCTGGGCAAGCGCCCCGTGGCTTCCCATTGCCCAACTCTCTCCGTGTCCACAGCAGAGGAACTGGCACCTTTAGCTGTGGTGGGTCTACACTGATGTACTGAAAGCAGATGAAAGCAAGCCCAAAGCATGAGCAAACTCTGACCTTTTGTTTTTTGACAATGAGGTAAAGTCATCCTACATGATTTGGATTTGCCAGCGTTGATGTGGAAATGTATGCTCTGCCTTTCCCCCTGTACAGAGAACCAGGTGTCTGTCCTCAAGCAACAGGTTTTCAAACCTGCTTTTTAAGGGTTTGGTAGCTCTTCATTTTCTATCAAGTAATCCTTCTTTATATAATTAGCACCCCTCACCAACCTCCATACTCCAAGATAGGCATCCTTCAGCGAGCTCCTGTTCACTCCTTGTGTGCCGGTGGCTTTTCCGTGGGCTGCCTGTCCCTTGGCAGGTTTCTCAGTGCCGTCCTTCTCTTCCTCTCCGCTGTCCCCCGTGGCCGATCCTTCCACTGTTGCTTCCTCAGCCCCCTTCTCCTGGGAAATTGCCTCCATCGCAAACAGTGCTTGGTCCCCAGCCTGCCTTCTCCCCTCCTCCTCTCTAGCTTCTTTCTCCAGGTCCTCGTAATTGCTCTGCCGTCTGGTCTCAATGTACTTGGCCACGCAGTAAATGACAGACCCCAAGGTGTTGACCACAACCCCGGCTATAAATAACTTTGTGGGCTCCACATCATTGAATGCCACCATGCCCACCGTGATGGTTGCTATGCTCTTCACCACCCCTACGAAGCTGGTGGTCACAGCTGAGTTAATGTAAGTGCAGTGAAGGGTGGTAAAGTTCATGGCACAGCTAATCAGGACACAAGCAATGAAGATGCATACCATGGCAGGGTCCTTCCACCCCGGGAAGGACCAGACGTTGATGGAATCCATGCTGGCAAAGGAGCAGATGATGAGAAAAGGGGTGGCTGAGACAGCGATGGCATACTGAGCGGTCAGGGGTCCATATTCACTATCTACACTGGTCTTCTGAATGAGCACCAGGTAGGCAGCATGTATCAGCACGGCCAGCACGCCTGTCACATAGCCCATAGCATCCCCAGTCAGGTCACCAGCTCCTGTCGGGAGAGTCACATAAGGAAACAAGCGTGGTTTTCGCATGAGAGACAGAAAAAGAGCACAGTTTGGGGCTGGGACGGGCGGAGCAGGGGGGAAGCATATTTAGGCAATAGGTACCAGTGCACTTTCCCTAACACCTAGGATTTGTTATGTTTGTCCCAAGGCTGGACACACTTACCTCCCCAGAGATAGATCTTGGCTTTTTCTTCATGCTGCCCCTAAATCCTGCAGCCAAAATCAGATTGCATTCGCCCTTTTGTGAAGACGCTACGGGAGATTTGCAGCTGAAATCGCAGGTACACACGGCAACCCTGGGCATCCTCTTGCCAGCGCGGGTGCATGTCAGCTCCGGCTGGCCGGGCTGCCCCCCTCCAACCCCCCCAGCCCTCCTTCTGCCCTCCTGATCCCCCAGCAAGGCCAAGCCGTGCGGGGTCCCTGCAGCGAGAGCCTCCCTCTGGTCCCCTGTCAGGCTCCTTTGCCGATTAACCTTCTCATCACCCGTGCTCTGTTCCCTTGGGGCCCCCCAGCCCAGGAGCGTCGCTGGGCTACAGAGAGCCAGCTTTGCCTCCCATCCCACCTACACCTCGGGGGCAAATCAACGCAGGTAGGGCCCCTGGCCCCATAGGGTTGCAGCAGACCTCTAAGCTTGCACCTGTCCCTGTAAGGTTGGATTTACCCCCGTGGGGGTTGCGGTTGCCCCCAGAAGATTACAGGTACCCCTGTACGGTTGCACTCACCCCCTCATAAGACCACACCTCCCTCCGTAGCGTTGCACCTTCCCTACCAGGGCTGCAACAAGGTTGCACTTACTCCCAAAAGGCTGCACCTACTTCTATAGGTTTGCACCGATCCCCGTGAGGAGGCACCTATCTCTGTCAGGTTGCACCGTGCCCTGTAAGATCGCCCCGGTCACAGCGGGGCTGCGGCCACCCCGCAAGGTCGCACCTCACCCCCCCACCCCCCCTACCCCCCCCGGTGAGGTTGCGCCCGCCACAGCGGGGTTGCAGCTGTCCCACCCGAGCTTCCGTGCCCCCCCAGATCCTCGCACCTTTCCCCCCACCCACCCCGCTCGGCCCGCGCTGCCGCTGCCCTCCCCCTTCCCGCCGCGGAGCGCAGCCGGAGCGGCGGGGGGTGCCGCTGCGGATGCGGCGCGGCCGTCGGGGCGCCCCGCCGTCCCGTCCCGTCCCGTCCCGTCCCGCCACGTCCCGCCACGTCCCGCCACGTCCCGCCCCGCGGTCCCGTCCCGTCCCGCCCCGCACTCACCGGCCAGCGCGGCGCCGCAGGTGGTGATGAGGACGGCGACGAGGACGCCGGGCGAGGGCATGCCGTCGCGGAGCACCAGGGCTCCGGTGAGGAGGGTGACGAGGGGCAGGCAGCGCTTGAAGACGACGTACATGGGGAGGCTGAGGCCGCGCAGCGACCAGAGGGTGAGGGTGGACTGCAGCGTGGCCAGGGCGGCCACGGCGGCGAAGGGGCGCGCCAGGCGGGGCCCGAAGGGCGGCAGCGCCGCCAGCCCCCGCCGCCGCAGCGCCTCCAGCCCCAGCGCCGCCGCCGCGCTGCTCAGGCACTGCAGCAGCGTCAGGAAGGCGAAGTGGTAGCGGGCCAGCAGGAACTTCAGCAGGATGTTCAGCGAGCCCGAGCACAGCCCGTGCGCCACCGCCACCGCCACCCCCCGCGCCCGGCCCCGCCACCGGCACATCCTCCCGCCGCCCGGCCCCGCCGCCGGGACCGCGGCACTGCCGCCCGCCCGGCCACCCGCCGCCGCGGCGGTGGGGGGGGGGCGGTGGGGGGGGCGGCGGTGGGGGGGCGCGGGGGGGGGACGGGCGGAGGCAGGGGGCGGGCGGAGGAAAGACGCGCGTGTGTGTGTGTGTGTCCCCCTCCTCCCGCCGCCCCCGTCCCTCCTGTCCCCTCCCCGCCGCCGTCCCCCGTGTGTGTGTGTGTGTGTGTCCCCCTCTCCCGCCGTTCCCGATGCGTCTCCGCCGCCGCTTTTCGGTGTCGTGCCCCCCCCCCCCCCGGAGCGCGGGGGGGGTGTGGGGTGGAGATGGACACACGCGGGGCGCCGGCTGCGTGGCGGCGGAGCGCGACCCGCCCGAAAAAAACCGCGGGAGACCCGTAGGAAACCCCACGTCTCACGGAGCGGGGAGGTCAGTGCGAACCCCCCCCACCACCACCACCCCCCGCCCACGCGTGCACAAGCGGGGCGGTACCGTTTTTCTCTCCCCCAAAGCGGACGGTGGAAAAAGCATCCACCGAGCCGAGCGGCGGCATCCTTTCCGCAGCCCCCCACTCCCCCGCGTCGGGGTCCCGGCCGCCCCCGGCCCGCCAAAGGGAGCCCCTTCTCGGGTGGGGAAGGGCGGAGAGGTGGGACCCGCTGCTAAGAAAGCCGGGAGGACCTGTGTTCCTGGCAGGGAGACTTTCCTTGGAAAGCCACTGAAAATTGGTAACCACGCTGAGTCTTCCCAAGGGATGTTTTAAAGCCTGGTAAAGTTTAAATAAGCTAATCCCTTCCCTCGGTTTGCCAGGTGAAGGTTTTAACGGGAGACTGCAACAGATCACCGTGACTCTAAGGAACAGCAAGAGCGGTTCTCGGACAGCCAGTCCTCTACCCCTCTCCTGCAGTGTCAGGCAATAAGGGAACGAAAAACTGTACTTTTATTTGGAGTCGCTTTATAACCTTGAGCCTTCTTTTAACATCATACGTGTAAGGTCTCTCTCATTAGCAGTTAGACGACCTTTCACCCATCAATATGAGATTAGCAAAGTTATTCTTTATTTTAAACAAAATCAGCCTCCCCCCCTTCTCCACAGGAACGGTATTAGAAAGAACCAGCCTGGGGGGGAAATGGCACACTTGACACCCAAAGCTCGCTTTTTGAAGACATACCATAAAAAGAGCGGGCGAGATCCTGACAGGGACTGCCAGTTCTGGTGGGCTTGTACGGAGTGTAGCACAGGCACAGCACGCATTTCAGCAGCATCAAAAAGGCACAACTATTTTCTGTGTGATTTCTGCAGAAAAAAAAAATGTTACATTTCAGCCTTAGTTCTGTTCACAGACCTCACCAGACGTACCCAGCTCCCAGCTATGCTTCTTTCACTGGAAACTCTTGCACGGCTCGGTGTTTGGGTGAGACCTGTAGCAACCGCAGGGAAGGGGTGGTGATGCCAACACCTCTCGGCGAGGGCAGGGTAGTCATTAGGAGTGCCACACAAGCCAGTGGGGCACGGAATGACCACGCTAGTACAGGGGAGCAGCAGGAAAAACACACCGGACCTGCAGCACCCGGCTCTTCATCTGAGCCAAGAGAAGCCGTGTGCGCCCAGGAGCATCGCTGGGTGCAGCAAGGGGCTCTCGGTGGTCTCGGGGATCAGTCGCACCAAAGAGGGTGCGTTACAGGTTTCCTGGGTTACAGCTAGCAGCCGAGCTGGTACAGGCAGAGAAGGCAGGCAGAGCAAGGTTTATAAAATGAAACAGAGGTACACATTAAGGTATGAGTGTCAGAAGATGCAATTGGGAATGAAAGGGAACCATGAGTACTATTGAAATTAAACAACAGAGGTAAACCAGAAGAGAAATAATATTCTCTAAGCAAAAACTAAAGGAACTTCTTTTTTTTTTCAGCCTTCGGGGTAAACGTGTGGGTGGAGACAGAAGCGAGGCTTGGCAATCTAACCTGCAGTCTGCTTCCAGGAGCCGGGAGCGGAGCGCAAGTCCACCTTGCACTTCAGTGCCATCAGCCACGCTCGTGTGGGGCCAGCAGCCGCTGCCGGCTGCCTGCCACTGATGCAGACACAGCAGTGCTTCCTGCTACTTTTGGACATATGTTCCTGGTTAAATATTCTTTCTCACCAGAGGCTCTCTCCAGCTTGCCTGCCTTTTATTATTCAATCTTCAATTTATTAATCTTTTTGAGAAAAGCTGCTGTTTTCACTCCCTCTTTCTTGCCTGGCTTTTTCTTACTTTCCTTCCTTTCCCCATTGCCATTACAGAGCCTGACATCAATGCAAGAACAACACTGACTTTGTAAGGACGACTACAGTACTCGCCTGACTCAAAACTGCAGCCTCTCTTTTCCTCCTTCACCTCTCCTCTTCATCTTTACAGAATCTATATGAGGATTCTCCTGACATCTATAATTTTAAATGGGCTTTTTCCCTTCTGACTTTATTTTTCACAACAGTTTATTTTCCATTTTATTCTCTTTCTGGTTCTTACCAAGGCAGTTGTATTTTCATTTTCTTTTTACATGCAAATCTTCAGTTTTAATATTTGAGTACTTATATTTCTATTGATTAAAAACTCCACTGATTGAAATATTAAAACACTTGGTGGGGGTGGGAGGGAAAGGACTCTGTGTCTGCTTCTTTTTAGAAGGTGAGAGTAGTACCTAACAATTTCTCTGGTTACCTCAGTCACGAAAGCCATGGGCACAATCAGGGTACTTAGAAGTTTACTCTCTGCTCAGTCAGGGTGGGAAGAAAGCATGCACCAAACCCCAGAAGTTTTCAGGCAAAGTGACACGTCAGTTGTGGTCACTTCCCTGGTGTCATGTGGCGCTCCACCTCGGGGGACTTCACCCACTCCAGAGGCTGGACTGCAGCATAAAATGTAAACTCACAGTGAAGTGGCCTGAAATATTAAGGCATCAAAAGGTTGAAACTCTCATTTAAACTTACTGGAAACCAAGTGTCTGGCTTCAAAAATCCACTGAAGAACTGTGCCAATGCATTTACACCAGCCTCCATTTGGACTCATCCCAAGCCCCCACACAGCACAATTTAAAGGAACACGTGGATCACTGTGACAGTGTTTGCGCATGGGAGAGAAAAAAGGCTCCTTCAGCCAAATAAGTGCAGATGGAAAATAATCTAATCGTGCTTTCTGGAAGTACTATAGTAAATGGGACTCTACCTAAGAAAAATCTCTGGAAGAAACAGTTTTGTCCCCTCACCAGTGAAATTATCACTGGAGAAGTGAGTCTCGGACACAGCAGAGGATCAGGCTGCAAGTCTGCGTTGGGGGGCTAAATACTTCCCTGATTGAAACAGAAAAACAAGCGTATCAGAGGGATACAAACTGGAATGGAACAGAACAGAATAGTTCAGTTGGAAGGGACCTACAATGACTATCTAGTCCAACTGCCTGACTAATTCAGGGCTGGCCAAAAGTTAAAGCATGTTATTAAGGGCATTTTCCAAATACCTCTTAAATACTGACAGGCTTGGGGCATCGACCTCCTCTCAGTAAAGAAATGCTTCCAAACATTCAGTCTAAACCTCCCCTGATGGATGCAGCTCTGAACCATTCCCACAGGTCCTATCACTGGATCCCAGGGAGAAGAGATCTGCATCTCCCTCCCCAACTCCTCTCCTCAGGGAGCTGCAGAGAGCAATGAGGTCGCCCCTCAGCCTCCATCTCTCCAAACTAGACAAGCCCCAAGTCCTCAGCCGCTCCTCCCAGGACATGCCTTCCAGTCCCTTCACCACCTTTATTGCCCTCCTTTGGATACATTCAAGGACCTTCGCACCCTTCTTAACTCGTGGGGCCCAGAACTGCTCACAGTGCTCAAGGTGAGGACACACCAATGCTAAGTTTGGGAACTCAAGTGTCCGTGCCCCAAGTACCATATCCTATCTCCTGGAACTCACCTGTGTTGCAAGGCCAGCTTCTCTTGCAACATCTGTCCCGGTACTCCTAATTCTAGTCTTGTCTATACTTAGCAAGGGCAGGCAGAGGGGAAGGTGCTGTTCCTTGCCAAGCCACCCCTTTCTCAGCATGGATTCAGGCCAGGCCCAGCACTAGTCTCCCACTGCCTCTCCACCACTCCACACTCAGAAAAGACGAGGTCTTCTGCACGTCACTGGGAAGGAGCTGGATAAAGCAACAGACACATATGATCTGAAGTGACACTGCAGTGAAGATACTTCACTCACACTAGCTGCCTTGTGTCCAGGGAGAGCAGTGAGTGCTCAGGTCATAAGTTGACTGTTACAAAATTTTGACCTAGCAGTGGGACACAGACCACAGTAATGAAGACCTCCATGGTTCCTTACACTAATGAGATAATTATGATGCCTTAACTCTAATCCTTTGATGCAAACAATGCTCAGTTCTGCATTTCACCTAGGTATAATGACATGGGTGAGAAGAAAAAAAAAGTGGAGCAAATTAGTTAAGGGCATCGTTGTTTTAGAAGGTTTCTTGGATGAAAACAGTAAAGATCTATATAAAATGTTTAATGGACAGTTTGCTTTAATTAGGGTCTAATGCAACCATGCGATGTTGTGCAGAGTTACATCTGTTCCCCATCACATGACCCTAAGCACATTCAAAACTGAGCAGTACTACTGAACGGCCTGGTACGCCTGTGCCTATGCAGCAAATTTTGAGGCCAGCACTGTACTTGGCTCGAAGAAAGACATCACTTCATCACTGACATGCAGTCAGCACAAGCAGACACAAAGAAACATTTAAAATAGGTTTCCTTTATCAAAAAGCAGACTTGATGGGACATACAGCTTGGCAAATCTGCATAAAGTACGGTCTCTAAAAGTACAGAGGAAGAACACGACTGACCCAGTATTCATACAAGATATAAACCATGATTATGATACCCTTTAAAGATACTCTCAGTGTCTTTCACTGCATTTACTTTTTGATCAATGTTTCTTAACTGGGGATGTGAATACAAGAGTGTAGCCAAATACACTGTATGCAATTAATTTAATAGCATTGCAGAACAGCAAATCCACTCCTTTAGAACATCGTTAATCAGCATGTTTCTTGAACCAAGGAGAAACCTATGGGCTGCCATAAAACAAAATCTTCCACAGGAGCAAGTTCAAAAGTAGAATACATCTTTAAGATTGTTGTCATTAAAGGTCTGTTTCAGTAAACAAAAAACAATCAGAAGCTAGTATTGTGGTCATAAAATAAACAGTACTTTAAAACAATTACGGCAAACATTCCCTGAGAATTAAGAATCAACAACAACTATTGCCAGACTGTTTTTTCTGTTACAGTGCAGAAATGCTATAGCACATTGTCTCCATTCAAAGATCACACAGGAAGACTAAAGGCCACAGTTTCTATTTACTATGTGCATCTTCTGGATGCGCTCATTTTTTAAGAGAATTAAATCCGGACGCAGCAACTCTCAGCACTGAGGCTGATCAGGACATGAGGGGAGAGAAGGCAGTTAAGAAAAGGTTTAATCCACATGTTGAGTGTGCGTGTTCAGGATTCCTTATTTCCCCCCTACCCCGTGCTACGTATTCTAAATTTGCCTTTCCAACTGACAGGCTATGGCACCATTCTGGAATAACCCCCTCCTTTCCTCCCCCCAAGAGACACACATATAAAATACATAACCACCACCAAAACGTTCCACTCAGACAGGTAACTTGTGGTCTTAGCAGAGAACAGAGACAAAGCAGAAGAGTGGAATAACTATTAAAGTTGAAATAATCAATTTTAATGCCTAAAATTAGATTTTATGGCCCATGGTATTGCTGAAAGCTGTGTGCAGCACAGCTTTATCGTTGCATCATTCCTCAGCACACAGAATTAAAGTGCAGTAAACATTTAGAATTCGGTGCAACACAGTCACATGAAAATCTACTTGTTGTTAATTCAGCTTGAGAAGATGGCGTTCTGGGGTCAGTTTGCACTGACCCAGAAAAAGAAAAGATCATATCGGCATCTAGATTCTTACGTTGCAGAAGACGGTCTCTTTCTGTCTTGCCCTAACACCAAATCAACGTACCTGTATCTCCCTGTGGCTACCTGCTAGTTCCCTGGCTCTTTCTCCAAGATAGCACAATCATTCTTTCCTTACAACTTGCAGGTCTTAGCTCTGCTGAATTATTTCTTTCATTTCTTCAAAGCATCCAGGAGATCTGGCAGTGTCTGCTATTGCTTGATATATGAGTGGTGCAACCCAGAAGTGTACAGCATTCATTATCAGGAGGCTATGAAAATGTGACCAAAGATCTTCAAAGAGTCTTTTGATGGTAAAGACTATTGATATGGGGTAACAGCAGAAGGGAGAACAACTTTAAGAAGGTTAAAAAAAGTAGGCTAGCAGGAAACCAGGAGAGAAGCCTATCGTATACCAATGAGAACTGCAGGAGTATCACAGTTGGATCCTGAAAGAGTATTCAAAGGAGACTGGAGAAGCATAAAAACTGAACATCTCTACTTGCCCCAGAAAAACTCAGACAAAAATAGCAGCAAGTGGGCTGAGGAGTCAAAGTGGGTATGCAAAGTACCAAACATATCTATCGCATGTTGGGCATATTCTTGTTAAGTATAATAGCTTGGCCATACTGGATCTGCTATGCTTATGTCATGCAGTTAATCTGCATGTATGCAGGTTCAACTGGTCTGGACATCAGCTCTCACTTTGGCCAGGCTGTCAGAGGTCCAGAAACACTGAATATGGCCTCATTTCTCTTCTATCTCTTGGAAAAACTTTCTAAGTGAAAATAGAAGACAAGTCTAATAGAAGAGATGGTTATCCTATCTCTAATTCTTGAGGATTGTGATCCAATTAGTGTTGTATAGATTTCATTTTTTCCTAAGCATTTTCTCTATCATCAGAGCATCTTTCTGCATGACTTCATCAACTCTTTTACTGAAGGAGATCTAAAAGAAAAAAATGTATTAAAATAATCTTTACCGTCTTTGTCAAGCAGCAATCAAAAAGGTCAAACGAATCAGCTGGCTATAATCTATGACATTTACTGTCTATCAAGAGTATTTGTCATATTGCACAAGAAAATAATGCAACACGAGTCACAGCAAAACATATAAATATAAATGCATCCAAGTGATAAAAACCTCAGTTGACGTTACAGTACTTTACAGTGAAAAGCCACTTTTTTCTTTTCTGCAGTGACGTTATCTCAAAATACACTGCCAGTTACTTTTATTCTTTATAGGGATGAAGAAGATTCAGGCCTCTGCTGTCATCATTAGCCAGACAGATCACAAAACTCTGTTGGTGATTCTACTTTGAAGACACCAGCTCCTATCTGCTACAGACACTCTTCGGCCATTCAGCTGCTGTTTAAGGATTTGCTGGCTCAAGTACTACCTGCACAGTAAACCAAGCCCTAAAATCTCCATATGCTTAAGTGCACAACACTCCATTCAAGGAGAGTTTTACTTAAAACGAGACACTAAGATGAGTGACACAGTTGACACTTTAGCACAAGTCTGATTGTGGGGGGAAGAGAGAAAGGTTCCCGATGTGTCATCTTCTCTAGACAGGAACTGCCAGACACGATGGTGTGTAGATCTTGACTAGCTCGTCCCAAGCGCAATCCACCACCTACAAAGCAAACAAAATCTATTTAGATCTTTCATAAGTGTCATTTTTACAAAAGTACAGATGGAACTTAGAAGAAGTCAATGCTGGTTGGTACTCTGATTTACAATGCTTCAAAATTATATAATAATGCACTTGGCTCTGTTCTTTAAGACTTTGTCTTAACTTTAAAATTAACAATCTCCTGTTTTTCATACTCTCCATAAGGAAAGCAGGGAAACCTTTGGGTTTCAATTGGGTGTTCCAAATAAGCTAAAGAACGTAACTGAGAATGAAATGAAGGACGGACACCGATAAAGTCCAGACCTTGTGGTGTTTCTTCTCTTTACAGGGTCTCAAGACTCTTTTAACTTGATATCTAAACACTTCATGATCAGATCTGGACAACTTTCTTATACTTGCAGGTATGGAAAACCATTATAGACTTTTTCCTAGTGGAGAGCTAAGGAATAGAAAAACAAAGAAGTTGACTAAAATGACGCAGGAAGTTTCTTGAAGAATGAAGCCAAAACTTCAGTCTCACACTGATAAGCTCTGAGATCACTGTATTGTCTTTTGTTGAGCAGAGAGATGTTTATTTGCTGAGCAATCAGAATTGGGGGTGGTGGTGTTGCTTCAAGCACTACCCAGACTCCGCTAGACCGATGAAGAGTGATGCCACTCTTGCCAGTGGCATCTTACAAACAGCAATTGATTCCAGTATAACTGAAACTATTCTGAACTGCAAGCCCCAAGCCCTATTTTAGATACAGGCTTGAACCTAAAATCAGAAAACCAGAATAAGATTCTACAGAAGATGACTATAGAATGTTTTAGGTTTGAAAATTATTTGATAATGCACTTTAGAGCCTGTAACAAAGTGAAAGGGTTAGCCACACTGACAATTACTCAAGTAGATGACCTATAATATCATGAAATATTGTGGGAGACAAGAACTAAGGCAAAGGGAAGAAGTAAGAGGAGAGCTAAAGAGAAAAAGCTGATGAGCCCCATAAATATATGCCAGTGAATCTGGCTGAATCCATCTTGCACTATCGTTACAATGTCCTTTCCAGTTGGGAACACAAAGGATACAGTATTGGATCCTGTGCACAACAAGCTTCCTTCTGCTGCAGACTGCAATTCTTGTTCTCTTCTAGAGCCAAAATGAACAGCTGCACACTAAAAATTTGGAAATCCAACTTCAATATTTGATTTCAGACTATAATTAGCCCATTTTGTGTTTACTATACTGCACTATTATTCATTTTTATTGCTTCCTTAGCTGGTTCTACTTAGTTATTTGAAGTGCTTTCCATATACATCTAAATGGATCCAAAAATCTCTTGACAATGTGTCTCTCTATTCATACGACATAATAGAGCTTTGTGTAATACAATGTTCTGCTGCATTGCAGTCCCCCAAATCATACCAAAAAGAAAATTTGAGTTCTCCACTAAATGCTATGTAGAAACTGGCAATCACATAAACCAGGGTTTTTTTTTTGGTTTTTTTTTTTTTTTTTTTTATATTCTCCACAGCTCTGGATCAATATCTGTATTTCTATGGTCAACACTTTCTACTTCCACAAAGAAACAAGAAACTGAGATAACATTTGGAAAAAATCCCATGGGAATTCCCACCTGTTATCAATATAATTAGCATCCTTGAAGTAGCCTCTGAACAAATATAGTTACAGAACCATTCAATCTAGCAACACTAAAAATAAACGGGATATTAAAAGGGAGTTTGAAAAGGATCACTTACGGTAATTTGCCCAACTCATTGACTTAATGATAGCACATGAAAGATCAAAACATAACCAGCAAACAAAAGGAAAATAATAGCTATAGCAAATAACAGTGTATCAAGTTCTCTTGTGCAGCAGGAAGTCTATAATGGAATACTGCTATCAGAAACCTTGTTGCAAATACACATGCAAAGAACAGCAAACAGCTATGTATGGGAAACTGGGACACTACAGCATGGAACAGCATTACAAAATGCAACAGCATTACCATTTCTCCATAATACTTTCTAGAGAATACAGCCAAGACTGTAAGAGAAAGGGGATAACTGTAAGCCAACAGCACAGCAGCCAGCATTAACTGATGGACAGCTGCTACATGCCCCTTTGCAGTATCTCATAGATCACCACTGCCTCAAATACAAATGACTAGAATGAACCCTGGCATAAAGAGAAGTGACTGTTCATGCAGCTACTGCATCAGTTTACAAAATGTCTTCTCCTTTCATTTTGCCTTTTTCCTTATGACCTGTCTATAAGCACTGTATGCTTTTCCCCCGAAGAGTGGAACATAGACTGTTGAATGTATCTGCTTTAAAAGTATTTAGAACTGTCAGTTCTCATATGACATATGAACTTTTTAATACACACTTAGAGCACTTTTGCCTTTTTTTTTTTTTTTTTTTAATAAAACATGCTACTTAATTTAAACATTCAAATAGCAGCAGGAATTCCACTGGGATGAGGGCTGATCCGGCACACCACAGTAAATAAGTACGGCATAAAAAAAGCCACAAGTTCCTAGGGTTTATATTTTGATCAATGAGATGATGATACAAACAGGCAGAGAAGATCCTCCTGTGGTAGCATGAATGACAAAGGAAAACTGAAAAGGGACTCACACATTATTTGCATACCTAATAAAAGTCCTTGACATTAAGAAGACAAAGGCATGGAGGTTTGTCTTTCTGTGAAAATGTCCACTGTCCTGGGGACAAATTTTACTCTCAGATTGAAACAAATCTCACTGATTTCCATATTTAGAAGGTGAATGATTTACATTTTTGTTTTTTAAGCTGAGATGCAAACAGAGTAGAAGACAGTTTATTTCAGTTGCAAAGAACTATACAAATTATAATATCCTTATACTACTGAAAAATTTGGACACCTGTATGCCATGCAATTTTTATTATCATTTATGAATACCAAATTGCTCTTGTAACTATAGAATACAATTCTAATATAGCAACTTTTAATTATCAGAAATTGCAGAGAAAAGGAGAATAACTAGACCTTAACTGTAAACCAAGAACATTCTACCTTACACTGACTGGTAAATCATATCAGGAAATAATGCAAACAGAAAAAGCATTCTAAAGTTGGTAATTTTAATTATAACTAAAGCTATATGGAACAAATGCAGTCTAACAAAATGACATTTACTACTTGTCTCTAATGCTTTCATTTCAGTAGCAAAGTTGCAGTACTAGCATATATGCTAGGGGTACCGTGCTGTGGAAAAAACATCATGACAAATTACCAGCCAGTAGAGACTTAAGCAAGTTTATCTGAAATATATAAAATGGGGATCACTGTATTTTCCTTCAAGTGAAGCCAAAAAGCAAGCAAACAAATGAAAAACTGAAGTCATCACAGGAAGCTGATTGCTTGACTAGAAAATCATAGTTTAATTCAAATGAAACAGCTACCCTGTGTTTTATTTAAGTGTTTATCCTTGTCCCAGAGTATAACAATGTTTCCCACCAACTGATTTAATATTAACATCCATTAATTTATCAAAGCCATTTCCATTGACTCACTAACTGATTTACTCCTCTGGCAGGCCCTCTGTTTCCCGTTCATCACAATCATCTTGATTTGCCATAGACTCAGACCTTTTCCAGCACCCAAAGGCAATCCATTCAGTCTAGTGCAATTACCTGCATGACATACTGCCTTTTTACTGTTCAGAGTAAGTAAGAAAACAAGGGAAATCTCCCAAGTTAGTAGCTAACTTTTTTTTTTTTTTTTAATATTTGAAGGCGTAATAAACCCCCAAGCCCTAACCAAGATTAAATGCATTCAAAAGAACAAATGAAAACATCAAGTTCAGTAATCCCTTTACGAAGGGGTTTAATCAGAATACAGTACAGCCCTCTCTAGATCAGTATTTACAGAAGTATCTTGGTGCCACTCAGCTTCCAGAGTGCTCATAAGTCATCACAGGATAATATACAAATGTGTCTGAGAGTGACCCATTTCTCTTTTCAGCTTTTCTACATCCCATTCCATTTTCAAATAAAATGAAAAAGACCTGTATTTTTTTCTGTAGAAGAGATAGCGGAAAAATTACTCAGTTCTTTGCTTCCATTAATGTTGTGTTTCCCTTCCTCTTTTAGTTTCTTATGTGTCTTTTCATATAGAATTTAATGGTCTATTTATATCATCCTTACGTATTCCTGAGGGGTCTTGAACATCCTTGGTAAGTGTGTAGGATGGAGATTAAGTGGAGATAAAGCAAGCTATTAGGTTTGCTACTCATCAAATTACTTTCACAGGTGATCATTAAAACTGGTTTGTTAAGTGCATAATGGATCATGAATGAGTTTAAATGCGTTCAATACTTTGTACTAGAAAATCTGAAGCGCTAGTGTGGCCTTTTGTTTGGTCAACGGTTGCTGAGGTGAACTGCACACGATGCCTGCCTTTACATGAGAATGGATGTGATGGGAGTCTGTAAATCTAAACTTTTTATTTTCAATGTGCAATAACATCAATCATTTTTTAACTTACTTTTGAAAAAACCCCACACATTGATTGAATTATTATTTCCACTAAAGACAGAATAAAACAAACCCTGGACCAGAAGTCCTTATAAAGATCCAGGTTCAAACTACAGTTATCAGAAACAGGTGTCCCAAATACTGCTTAGGAAATCCATTTCTTTCTTAAGGAGAGAAAAGATAAAAGACTTGAGGGGCATTATTTTTCAGATTGGAAAGATACATCACACAGAACTGATCTAAAAACCAGGAAGCTCTCTCAACATTTTTTTTGTTGCTCTGACACAGGCAACAAGACGACGACTCAGCAGTTGTGCTACACATTTCTAAATGCAAGAGTGTGCATTTCATCAGTAAGATGTAAAGGAAATTGAGATGCGAGTTGCGGGTTAAAGAGAAATCCTTGGAATCTCCACAGAATTTGTAGCAACTCCTCTGTACTCTACAGATAAGGGGAAAGACATCTCCCCAGTCTTCCAAGAACTGTTTTTAGT